GACTATTCCTCCCCTTTCTCTCCCCCAGGGTGTACTGTGAATTTTTGGTTCTCCCCAACACCTTCGGTTTTATATTGGGGGAGCAACCTGCTACTTACCTAAGTGGTTCCGCACCTTCTCACTCCTGGACTTGATCTCTAGTTCTATTTCTTTACCTATTAAAGCCTGTCTTTCCAACCTATCTATAAATACTGGTTCAGTTGCCCCTATTACTCTCTGGTTCCCTATCACATAGAGTTCTGTTTTCTCATATTTGATTTTGGTCCATATGCCCTTCTTTAGGTTAATTATATTTCATATAAAGAGCATCTTGGTGGACCCGACCTCTTGATCCACTCTGCCTGTGATTCTCTTTTTTTCCTTAATTTAGTGTATCTAGGCCATCTATATTAGAAATTATATCCAACCTTCTCTGCCTCATTTCTGTTGTGCTCTTTTTCCATCATTAGTTGTCTGTTTGTCTTCTTCATTTTGCCGTCTGCCCCATTCATTGAGGCCTCTCTGCCACTGTTCCTGAAATCCTGGTACTTTTCTCTCTCTTTAGAATGTCCTGCAGTATTCTCTGTAGAGTTGGATTGGTGGTTGCGAATTCCCCCAGTTCCTCTTTATCTTGGAAGCATCTTATTTCTCCATTAATTTCTAGAGATAATTTTTCAGGGTACAACAATCTGGATTGGAGGTTATTTTCTTTCAGGGCTTGAAATACTTCGCTCCACGCTCTTCTCAATTTGATGGTTTGTGTTGAGAAGTCTGCCATAATTCTGATGGGTGTTCCCTTGTAAGTAATCTGTTTCTTGTCTCTGACAGCTTTTAATGTTCTGTTCTTATATTGGATTTCTGGAATATTGATTATTATAGGCCTGGCTGTAGTTCTGTTTTGGTTGTAGGTGGCTGGAGTTCTGTATGCCTCATACATCTGAATATCATTTCCTTTTCCTATGTTTGGGAAGTTTTCCTCAATTATTTCTGTGAATAACCTTTGTAGTTCCTTTGTTTGTACCCCTGCTTCTTCATTCACATTCTTTATTCTTTTTTCTTTTTTTAAATTTTTATCGGTACCGGGGATCGAACTCATGACTGCCTGCTTGCAAGGCAGGTGCTTACGCCACTGAGGTAAATCCCTAGCCCCTCACATTCTTTATTTTTTAGTTATAGCTCCTCTTGTCTTCTTCTAGCCTTTGTATTGTTACTGCTTATTTCCTTGTGTTTTGTTGTTGTTGTTGTTGTTGTTGTTTGGTCTTTTTCATTTTTATCGGTACCAGGGATCCAACTCACAACCACACACTTGCAAGGCAGGCACTTATGCTACTGAGATAAATCCCCAGCCCCTTCCTTGTTATTTTTGAGCTAAATCCCCAGCCCCTTCCTTGTTATTTTTAAGAAATTTTTCCTTTCATGATCCCACATTGCAATCCTGTCCTCCAGTTTAGATAATCTATCTTTAGTTTCTTTCGAGCAGTTTTTCCATCTTTCAATGGAGTTTTTAATCTCCTGGTAATCTCTTTGAACCTGCTGCATATATTCTATGTTTTCTTTATATTTTTCATCTCTTTGTTTTCCTCCATTCTTCCATCTGTGTCTTCTTGAGAGGTGCTTAGCCTTTCTTTTATTAATCTATTTATATCTTGATTTACTTGGTTAAATATTTCACTTTTGAACTCATCTATGAGGTCCCAAAGTTATTTCTTTATGTCCACTGGTGCCTTGTCTGATATTGCATGTTTGCTGTCCTCAATCTCCTTTGCATTTACCTTTCCTGGATCAGTGTTCTCACGGTTGGGGCCTGGGGACCCTTTCTTGTTGCTTCCTCTTCTCATATTTTTTATTCCTTCCATACAGGTGTGTATAGGAGGCCCCAATTTCTTTCTTTGTTGATTACAATTTATCTGAAGTGTGCTGACTAGGTGCCCCTGCCCACTGCAGGGTACTAAGGAGGTACAAATAGGGGCAGTGTATGCTGGACCCGCCCCTCTGGGTCAGTCAACCTGCTGAGGGCTTCACTGCTTTAGGGTGTACTGCCAGGCATAGGGACTCAGTTTGGAATAACCTATTGGGTCTTAGCCCAGGACACGACCCAGGCCAAGCACACCCCACCAAACCCACTTGAGAAGGGAGCAGCTGACTGAAGTCACCACTGCTCTTTGTTCTCGCCAGTCTTCCCAACCCCAGAATGTTGTCTGTTGGAGCCCCCCTTTCTGTGGATTGGTTTTTATTCCTGACACTCACCGCAGGTTGATGCAGGTTCCCCACCAGCTCAGCTGTCCGCTTGGCTCGCTGACCCCGACCTCAGTGAGAGTGCGTCTCCTGTGAGTTGAAGCAGCAGTGGGTTTTCGGGTAGCTTGGTAAGTCTTGACTGCGCGAGTTCAAGTGCTGCAGCAGGAGCACCGAGCCTTCAGCTGTTCCAATAGTAGCACCGGGACTGTATGTTTAAATGGTTTCTCTCCGCTTAGTTTTGTTCCTGGGTCAGGAGGATCCATCTCCCTCTGTTCACGACTGCTCACGCTATATTATTTTGGAATCTAAGTTGACTATCTCAGGGAGCCTCTGTAGCCTGCTGTTATCTATCTGCCATCTTTACCAGAACCTCTATTAAAAGAGGAATTAGTCCACTTCCACATTTAACATAACTACTGTATGCTTGTGTGTGAATCTACAATTTCACTTGAAGCTTTCCATCACGCCACCTGTCCTTCTCTCTCCCTCTTTCCCTCTCTCCTTTCTTTTTAAAGTACTGCTTTTATGAGTTTGAACTTCTCCTCCCTTTACTAGTTTGGAAGTTTGTTCCTCTTCTCTTGGTCATTGTGCTAGAAATCACAATATACAGTACCTCCTTGACTTAGTAAATGTTAATACTTTTACCCTCCTCCCAGACAGGAGAAATTCTTTAATATTAAGTGTAGTTTCCACAAGTTTCATGCTATTGTTACTGTTTAAATCCTCTTTACATATTTAAGATACCATAAAATAATTATCTACTCAATATCATTACATTTATTCACATATTCACCATTTTTTGCTCTCCTTTTCCCTTGAACTTTACTTTTTTTGTCTTTAGTACCGGGAAGTGAGCTGATGACCTTGCACTTGCCAGGCAGGCACTGTGCCACCGAGCTATATCCACAGCCCACTGGAACTTTTCTTTCTACCTGTGATCATTTCCCTTGTGACATACCTTCACTATTACACACCAGTGCTTGAATCCTGGCTCTAAGTACACCAAAGGTGCCCTGCAGAATATCTTTCAGTGAAGATCTGCAGAAAGTGAACTCATGGATTTTATTTTTTTAATTCTTGGGTTACTTTTAGTTTTAAGATAAACGTCTTTATGTCGCCTGTGTTTTGGCTGACTGTAGGATTCCAGGTAGGCAGTTACGTTAGAATATTGGAGATACTTCTGTGTTAGGGCTGTTTTTTGAGTGTTGTTTTTGTTTTTTCTTTTTTGGAACTCAGTTACTACCCTATCATGCCTTTGAAAGTAATCTTTTTTTCTAGCTTAAGACACTTCTTTCTTAGGTTTGTGCTAATATTGTTTGGACAGTTAAATGCCAATTTCTTGTACACTGAGGAACTAAAGATGACGTTACACAATGTGTTAGCTTTTGTTGCCCTCCTATTATCTTGTTTTGAAATTCTATTTTTTCTCTTTAAAATAACAAAATTATAAGGATAAATAACTTTTCTTTCTTTTTGCTTTTCCTGTAAACCAGAATTTGGATCTCTTTGTATGTATCTTATTGATAGATAAATTGATTGACTCCTGAACTTATAAGTTGCTGTCTTTAAAACTTAGAAATGACAGAGTTAAGTAATTACAACAGTGACAATATGGTCTTCATGATCTGAAATACTGACTTTGATCTTTCAACCAAAAGTTACCAATCTGTGCTCTGTTTCAATCCTTTTGTGTGTTCTCTCCTTCATGCTTTTACTTTTTCCCGATACTTTTACTTTATAGTCTAATTCCCTAGTCTAGTTTTTGTCTATATATGAACTGTGTGAAACATATATTAAATTTCAAATTATGATTACTGTATATTTTCATTGTAGATTTCCACGCAGAGATTTTTTTGGTTTTGGTTTTGGTTTTTTCAAATCCCAGCTATTTACTTCCCAACTGAAATGTTCAAATTTTTCATTTGTCTTTAAAGACAGGAAGTATGACTTTGGAGTCTGTATCCAGTACTTTCTTTATCTGAAATTTTTATGAATTTGTTCCTGTGCTTTTTTTTAAAAAAATCTTGTTTTCATTCATACAGGCTTCAGCTTACTCTGTTGTTTTTATTTGTAGAAATAATTTGTATCTAGGTTGAAAACACTTGCCTTCACCAAACATTTTAATTCACTCTGACATTCTGAGACAGCCTCAGCTGAAGTTCCTGGTTTGAGATTTGAAAGCTCTCAGTATACTAACATGCAGACAGCTTGGTTGTGGTGCTTCCAGGACAAAGCCCTCAGGGACCTCAGCTAATGTGTGGGCATCTGTCAGCCCCCCCACTCTGCAGCTCCCTAATACCAAATACCCAAATACCAAATACCAAATACCACAGCTCCGCAGGATAGCTGTATTTTCTGATCACTGCAAAAACATTCTTTGGGTACTTGCTTCTTAGTCTCCCATGTTTTTGACCTGGAGATCTTTCCCTAACTTATTAGCTCTTTAATGTTTTTAAGAAAAATTATATGTAGCTATATTCATCCTTTATATTATTTATGTGTATTTCACACAGCTGTGTCAGTTGACCTCAACAAGAGAGGTGATACAGTCTGTCACTGAAAGAATTAAGCCTCCCAGTTGATTTTTATAGAGGTAATAAGGGAGTTTTAGGGCTCTTAGCTTTCTGGAAACCTTTATCTACTCTCTGGAATCATAATTTGGCTTGGATTTGAAGTCCAAATTTAAATGTAGTTTTTTAAATATTTGGAGGCACTTCTTTGATCTATTTTAATATTTTTGTAACTATTCAATAATTCTATTCTTTGATCTATTTTAATGTTTTTGTAACTATTGAATAATTCTATTCTTTCTTTATGCTGTTTTTCTTGTAAATCACCTTCCCTCTCGTGTCTGAAACCACTAGGGTTTTCTCTTCCCTTGGGATGCCAACACCTCACTATGATGTGCTTTGGTACGGGACAGACCTTATTGCATTCATGTTTGCAGGCATAAAAAGGACACATTTGATCTGACGATTTTTATTTTTATTTTTTGAATTTTGTTGCCAGTTCAGATTTCCCTTCTCTATATTTCTGTCTCTCTTTTAAAGAACAATTTTGTTTGGATTTTGGCCTTCTTAGATTCATTCTATATATTACTCATCATTTCCTTCCTCATTCTTAGTGCACTTTCTTTTTGTACTAGCTCATGGAACATTTCTTCAGTTTTACTCTCCAGTTTGATTCAAGTTTTATTTGCAAAAGAAAAAAATGTTCTTTGTTTTACCCTTTTACATAACCTCTGCTTCTGGGTATAGAATGTATATCTTTGCTTATTTTCCTAAAGATCGTAGATTTAAAAATCTTACATCCTTTTCCATCATTTGTTTTCTCTAAATGTTTTGTTTTTGTTTCTTTTTTCTTGAATAGTCTTCCCTTTTCTACTAGGGGTTTTCCTAAATCATCTAGGGTAACTTGGCATTCTTTAGCTAAGAGTGAATCTTTAAAAGATTATTCCAAAGTCCTGAGTGTGTGTGCAGAATTAAGTGACCTGTGAGCTCTTCTGAGGGGGTAATTGAACTGAATTTCTCAAGTGCAAACAAATAAAACTGATAATTCCTTTAGAGTCCTTTAGTAGTTTGTTAAAAATTTATCTTCTGACAATCTTTTTTTATACCGGTCAGTGTGCAGAGGGCAGGCTAAGGAAGGGGGACCGTGCAGCTGAACTATTTAGTTCACAGTTGTTGTGTCTCCGTTATACTGCCTCCATCTGCATCCCTTAGTCTAAACCTTTCTCATATTCCAATTGGACAGAAAACTACGTTTTAACCACCAATTTAGGAAACCAAAAGCCTGCCTGCTTGTGGTGACAGAAGGCTCTAACTACTCCATAGGAGAATTTCAACCCCTGTTGTTAGCTCCTCTTCTCAACTTCGCCCTTCTTGAATTAATGGTATCTCAAATAAGAGACAAGATGGAAAAAAAAAAAAACCCTGCCACTTGAAAATATACTCTAATTAACTTTAGATGGTTTATCTGTTAAAGGGGTTTTGTTAGACTTACTTTGAATTTCTAGGCTAATTTAAGAATTTTCAGTCTTATGGTATTATTATTTCTACTAATAATACTATTACATATTCCTACTTTAAGAATAAGGTAAACCTTTCCAATTATTTTGATCACCATGACTTGCAAGGTTACACAATTTTCTTCATGTTAGGCTTTTTACTAAAAGTATTTCTCTGAGGAAGAACATGGGACACAACGGGAGAGCAAGGTCAAGAGCCTGAAGAATTCCCTGATGAATGACCCACATACAGTGCAAAAAGACAAACAGCATGACAGAGAATTAAGAGACCCCAAAATAAATCCAGAAATTCCAACAGCATTCTAACAAGAATTTGAGAAGAAAACAGAAATAATGGAGGGAAGAATCCATTCATTCTTTTTAAAAATTTCCTGAAGTTGTAGTATAAGGAAAATATGCATTCTCCACACTCACATCTTAATTTACATTGTACCAAAATTTCGGAAAGCTAAAGAGAAAATTCTAAAAGATACAAAACAGAAAATCACATTAATATGAAGACTATTTTTATCCTCATGTTAGACAGATAAGAAATCTCAACCAGCCTGCAGAAACTTATTTCTCTGGAGCAAGCTTTACCTGTCATTCATATCAGAAGGTCCCAGGGATGTCACAGTTCAGCACTGAACTCCTGAGTGTTGTCACTGCCCGTCTCTGAGGGACCACCGAATTGCAGCTGGCAGCACAGCACTCTTCTGTCCTCCCAGGACTATAATACTTGCAGACTTTTCAGTCTTTTATTAACCCTGTCCACCTGGAGAACTGTCCTCGCCTATGACTCCTCCAACTCCTAAAAATCCATTTGGAACAAAAGTTGAGGACTGAATATTTTGAATTCAAGATCTTCCTTCCTTTCGCTAGGAGGAAAGAGAAACATTTTTTTTCAGGAAGGAAAAGAGAGTGCTCAAGTCCTCACATGCTTGAGCCCTAACCCTTTATTTCCTTACCTTTATTTAAAGGTCCAAAAAGAAATAAATATGTTCATTCCAAGATCCCTCTGAGATTCTAAGTGCACCGTGCAGCTTTTAGTGGGTACAGATTCCAGCTCCATCAGCGGCTGGCTGAGTAGGCTCTGGTGAGCCATTAAAATTCTACTGTTCTTCACGTCGTCGTCTTCATGTAGAAATCCTGCTGGCTTTGCCTTATCTGACTAACAGATGTTTTGTGTGTGGATGTAGTCTGATGATATACACAAAAGAGTTATAGGAAAACTTAGAGGGCATCATTATCTTCTTCTGATGTCTTTGTCTTCGTTAATGTGAGTTTCAAAATTTAAGCTGAGCTCAAATTGTGCTTTCAGTTTACTCCAGAATGAGCAGCGTCTCCTTCTTGGTGTACTGTGGTTGAATCTCCTTCTTTCTTATCTCCACCCATCTTATTTCCATTGAGGATTTGGAGGGTGTGTGAGTCACTTCTGCTCTGGATCACTGACATGCTCAGCTCTTCCCCTAAAGCATGAAGCATGAAGATACAGTGCTATTGGCTGGCTGGACCCCTGTGGAGCTCTCTACTGAGCAGTGACATCCGCAGTCTTCGAGCTTCCCAAGGGATGTCCCAGTTGGTAAACTGGCACTTCGTAGCCAGGGGAGGCTGACTTTCCATTGGCAGGGCCGTGATTCCACCCAGTCAGGGTTATCACGTAAAGTATCTCTCACTCATCAGGCCAAATATTAACATGTCTGTGTTCTCAGAACTTTACACCTATTAGTTTATTTAATCGAGACAACAATTTTTTATTATCCTATGTCATGGGAAGGAAAACTGAGACTCAGATTGGTTCACAATTTGAGTTGCTCTAATTGACAAGTGTTGATGAGTAGCAGAACTGATATTTGACCCCAGACAATCTCTTTCCTAGGTTTTTAACCACATTGTCCTATCTTTTGAATCAGCTTTGCTCAACTAGCTAAAAAAATCTCCCAACATTTAAAGTGTGTAAGAGGGTGCATGCATGCTTTGGTTGGTGATGTAAATATAAATGTCAACTCTTGTATTTCTATCTGTAATAGTCTACTTTCTCCTTGCTCAATACCCCAATCAAATGAATATCAGTTTCCTTGGTGCTTGAGTAGTAGGCTAACGGTAGGTAAAACTGCATAAATTGTTAGTATTTAACCATTTTATCTGGTTCAACCTAATATTTGTTGAGCCTTGCTTACACAGGTACACAATTGGTCCTGGTATTGTCCTTATCTTTTTATTTAATTTTCACACCAATACTTCAATGTATTTTAAATTCCATTTTCTCACAAGGAAACAAGCTCAAACTAGCTGGAGATCAGCTAGCAAATGTAGTGGTAGAGACAGGGATCTTCTTACAGGAGGGAACCTTCTCATTAACAACTTCTGGCAGCTGAGTCCAGGAACTGAGCTGGAGGCCCAGGAGGCAAGAAGGCGGGATCACATTCAAGCAGCAGACTCATAGGATTTTTGAAAGGAAACATGAGTCAAGCGGGAAAATAATATGACCTCTGGACAACACTCAAGCATGACTCAGTGAGCAGCAATAGTCAGCTTTGGAAAACTGAGTCAGATCTTTTTAGTTTCATTCGATCTTGTCTCAACCATCAGGTTTGGCGAGCTTGTGAACATGCTTGCTGCTGCTTTAAAGAGAATTAAACAGTGTTTTGCCCCATTAGACGATGCTTTTGTGGGACGCGTGGCCAGCAGAGTCCAGATGGAGGATATCTGGAACAGTGGGGACAACTGGGACTCAAGGCTGAGACAAACACAGCTGGAGAACCTAGAGGTAGTGTGGGGCAGAGACAGAATGGGAAAGTTTGTTGTTACAAGCAAAAAAGAATGATAATCTGAAGCTCTCCAGAATCTTTTGGGTTCACTGAGATGGACAGGGCCTGGGGACAGAGCTAAACCACCTGGAAGGGGTCTGCAGTGACCGTGTGTTATGAACTCCTAAGGGAGGAGGGAGTGTCACATGGCATGAACACACTGAGTCATGTTCCGGTGAAGTGGAGTGTTTTTCAGGGCTAGATGGAGAAGCAGTTGTGTGGTTCGCAGGCATTCATTTTAATTGTGTGATTTTTCTCTGTAGGAAACTATTTTCAAGTCATTCTTTTCAATAAAGATTGAATCACATTCTTTTGATTTGCTGCAAGCTTTATCTGCCATGAGCATTTTAAAGCACCAGACAATTGCTGCCTCATTTTCAGAGGACTGGTTGCTGGATCCTTGCTGAGCTATTGCCTCTCCCAGCCTAAGACGTGGAGCTTTGTTTTCACCCCCTGGCATAAAACTATCAAAAAAAAGAGTGACTAGTAATAGATTTTTATCTTAACTCTTTCCTGTGCAATGTGCCGGGTATTGGGGAGTACAAAGGCTGCCTTCTGCCAGTTTATAATCTAGTTGGGAGAAAATTGACATAAATGCAATGCAAGATTGTTTAGAATAGCAAAATGTGGTGAACAGACAAAGTCACCGAAAGCCATAAAGCTGGCGTTGGAGATGGAGGAGTGCAGGCCGTGGGGAGGGGGTCAGGAGGTGTATTCAGAAGGTTCTGGGGAGAGAAAGGCGTTTTAGGCGGAATAACACAGTAAAGGGGTGTTGGGGGTGAGAGAGCACTTGCTTGCTAGGAGTTTGCATTAGACTAGCTTGGGCCAAAGTGGAAACATTGTGGAATAAATTCTATGAATGGCCTGTTGTCTCTACCCACATGACCTCTGGTAGTCTTGTTCAGTCTTTCAAACTTAAATAACGCTTTTATGTTACTGATTCCTGGATTTGTAGCTGCAACACAACCTTTCTTTTATATTCAAAATGAAACTCCTGGCTTTTCACCCTCCTGACTTGTTCCCTCACCTCTCATCTTTTCCCTTGTCCTTCCTAGATCTCTTTCTAAGAGGTGAAGGAAACATTTCTAGACGCCTCCCTAGCTGGTTTCCTGTGTTCCACTGAGTAGCATTGGTTCACAGGCCTGGTCTGTATCAGTTCCAGAGGATTAAACCAATCCCAGCAGGGTAAGGATCCTTGGAGAAGAGTGCACAAAATGAATTCTGTTTGAAAGTAGGTGCCGGGTGACTGATTGCTGGTTTAGGTTTAAAAGTTTGCTACCCAAGGTGATCTAATTTTCTGTTTTCGGACTTTTCCAGGTGGTACACATGAGGAAAGAGCCTGAGGCCATGAATGCAGGAAGCCGCTAGTTGTCCATCTTGTAGCAGGTGTTTGACCGGGTTTGTGCATAATTAACTGATATCTGACGGCATGATTTTTGTGAGGTTTCTTCTGCTTTTTTGGCTATCGCTTAAGTGTCTATAGCAGAAATTCAGAAGTGAAACAAACTAATACAGGACTTCTCAGAAAAGTAGAATGTAAAAAGGACTCTTCCTTTCCCTGTGTATTGCCTGAAGTTATATAACATTTTTTTAAGTCACAGAGATTTTAAAATTTTTGTGATAAATTTTTATGGTGTTTTTACTTCACTATCCCCTGCTCTGTTCCCAGCACCACCTCCTCTCCTTGTTCTGGTTATTTATAAAGTAAATGTATTCTGCTTCTTGAGCACCATCGTACTGAAGCTTCTGACATTGTAGCAGCGTCAAGGCCATCTCCTCAGGTACCCATGGAGGATGGCACACAGCTATGGTGGGATTCCTCCCTTTCTGCATGCCCTGGAGCAGGAGGGACAGAGTTCTACACAGGCTCAGACACTGGAGAAGAATTTAGAGGAGCTCAGGAAGGGTTTCCAGGAAGGTGACCCTTTGGAGGCATCAGAGCCCAGACTGTCTCAGCCAATTGTGCGCTTGTGTTGGAAAGTAATAGTCATCAAAATATGTGTCATGGCCCACCCACAACCACCACCAAATCCTGGGCCGCCCCAGCTGCCTTCCCTCAAGAATAGGCTTGATTTTGAAGGCTCTAGGGGAAGCTGGGACCAAAAGTGGGCAGGGAGTGAACAGAAGAGACAGCTTGGCCCTGGAAGACAAACAGAGAGACTTGTTCTTACAAAGCTGGTCCCCCCTCTCCACTGACTTATTCTTCATCTGTGCACAGCTTATGGTTTAGTTTCCCTCCCTCAGAGAGCCAGCTTGACACTTCTTCCGCACAATTCTGGCAGACATTCCTTCCTTTGTGCTCCTGTGCTGCCCTGCTGAGGACTCCCATGAGTCAAAATTGCCAGATAATTTCTCTCCCCACTAATGTTTACCACTGACTTCAGCATATCCTAACTGTGGAGGCCCAGCCTTGGTTTCCTCATTTGTAAAATGGGAATAATAACTATCCCTCAGCAGGTTATTGTGGGAATTAAATAAGATGCAGCAGACTCTGGAAGCTGAGACAGTACTGAGTAAATACTGTGGTGCTTCTGTTATTATATCGTCACTATTTGCCTCAGTACTGAGTCAAATACGTGCTATATGCTTAATATGTTTGTTGCAAAGGGAGGGAATGTATGGACAAGAAAGGACACATTAAAAAGTCAACTAATGATAAAACTCATTAGTGAAACCAGCAAACAATCTGGGGGACACAGCAGTAGGGCAAAGAGTATCATTGATTCCCTAATTGGGGAGACACAAAACCAGTTCACGGAGTGCAGAAGAGTGAACCTCTGCAGCAGGAGACCAGGAGGCATCACCAACAGGCGGCAGGAGCGGCGAGGTCCTGTGGAGAGGAAAGCAGGGAAATTTCAGGTGGTGGTCTTCTAGACTCACAACTATCTTCTTAGAAAATGCAAGCGTGGAGGACATTCCCCTCAGGAGCTGAAATGTCACTGTGTCTCTGGATCTGTGTCTCGGGTCTGTTTGGTTCTCCCTAGAGAATGGGAGGTGGTTGCAATGTGAGGCTCACACATCTGCAGAGATGTTCTCCTTGTAAACCACTTCTCTATGACAACCATTGCATGTGTTCTGGGGTAGGGGCCAGCTGACTCAGGAATTCATCAAGCCCTTTCATTCCCATTCCCATCATCATTAAAAGGGCCTTTACACAGAACACTTGTAAACGCACGGTGAATGAATATTCATGGATACACTTTCCCTGTCAGTGGCCCAGAAGGGTGCTGCTCCCAGAGCCGGCTGTGGGGTCCTATACAGGAGACTGGTTTGGCCTTTGTGCTCATTGCAGGGAAGAGGGGAATGAGTCAGCCTTTCAAGTACTCTTCAGTGTGAGGACAGCAGGCTGTCCTCTCTGTGCTCAGCTTGTTAAAGGCTAAGAAGAGCTGGGGAAGGAGTCCGAGGGCTTCCAACTGCTCTTGCCTGCAGTTGCTTCAGTGACCTGGACATTCTTCTCTGGGACCATGGAACTTGGTTTCTCAAGCTACTTTTTATTCCATGCATGTTGGATCCACAGTTCTCAACATCCTGATTACATACTTCTTCTCAGTATGTATAACGCCAGCATTTAAAGGGTGGCTTACAGTTTGTGAAGAGCTTCTACCCACATTATCTGATTCCCCCAGAGGAAAACAAAGCAAAGCACTTAACCCCCTGCCCAGGTGAGGGGCTGGGAGTACACTTACCTCTTTACTGGTGAGGAATCTGAAGCTTAGAGAGGTTTGCTTGGCCTAGGAAAGGCTGACAGATACCCTTAGACCACAGGAAACTGAGTCTGCTCAGCAGCTCTCAACTGCACACACCCTCTGCTGTCTGGCTAAGACAGGGTCTGAGTCAATACCACAAGCCCCATCAGCTCAAAATCTGGTCTTGCATGTTGTACACTAGCAAAAATCTTCATTATATTTGTACTATACCAAAATACCTGTAATGTGGCCTACTGTTCTATATGTGTATCTTTTTTCCCTCTGGGTGACCTAATCAATACGTTAATCAATGCTCTCCTCTGTAAAGAACTGTAAATTCCTGAGAGACTTCTCTGTCCTCTGCAAAGGGAAACAAAGGTCTTCCTCATTCCTTAGAAGATGAAGGATTTTCTCATTTCCTGATCCACGCTCATGACCTCTACTTTGTGAGCTGTGATATGTACTAACGGTCGGCAAGTGTAGAGGAATGACACACACAGCTTTTGCAATCTCCAACTGCACTGTGTCGCTTGATAAAATAAATCAGCCCCATGAAAAAATAAATCAGCGCTGCTTTTTAAAATATGTTTTTGCCTCATTTTTTGAACTCAAGCTTGGGGGCTCATTTGTGGACTACAAAATTTGGGGTCTCGTCCGGGATTAATGGAGGACCCCTCCCCAAATTATTTTTTCACCTATCAATTGGCTAACCATCTGTATTTGGGGTTTTTTGTTTTTGTTTTTTTGTTTTTTTTGACTGTTTGTAATCTGAGTGCACACATTTATAACTGCAGATAAAATGAGACAACTTCTGGAGGCCTTTTTCCCCCTTTTGTATTTTAGGGCTTTTGGAGCCTATTCGTAACTTTGTTTGGGCTTTGGCCCATGTGGAGGCTTTTGCCTATTTGTAATTGAAAGAGTTGCTGGCCCAGACTGGAAAAAGCCAGGAAAAAGCCGCAGCCGCTGCCTCCCCCACCCCTATAGACTTGCCTGTAACCCTATACCCCCATCCCTGTAACTCTGGCGCCAAAACGTGTGCCAATGAAATACCTGTGCATCTCTAATGGCCTTAGGGTACTGCCCTAAGCTTAGGCTATTTATATTCCCCCACCCCACGTGTCCGAGAGAGAGATCACCAGATTCCAGTGGCCAGTGCGCCAGTCTCCTCTCCCCATGTTCCCGGAATAACCACGGCCCCGGGTGCAGTGGAGATGCTGCGCCCCGGGGCCGGCGGGGGGGTCTCTCCCCGCATTCCCGAAATAAAGCCACCGCCGCCCACTACTTTCACAGCCGTCCACTCCACTCCTTCCACGGACCACTTCCTCTTCCCTCTTCCTCTCCCTCTTCCCATCCTCTCCCTTCTTCTCAGACCTAACAGTAATTGGATGCATGCAGTGACTGCAGACAAGCTAGGGCTCCTTCTGTACTGGAATCCGGGGCTGAGGTACAAAATCCCATTTGTAATGTGGGGCTCCAGCCCATGTGTGTGGGTCTTCGGCCCGTTTGGGGCTTCAGCCCGTCCATAAGTTTGGGGCCTTTTGCTCGTGTGTATTTATGTTCAGTGTTTTTGTACTTTGGAATTGTCTTCCTGTTTGAATCTGTTACTCACTTTGGGGATTTTTTTGCCCATTTGAAATTGTTGAATTTGTTACTAACTTAGGGGATCGTTGCCCCTTTCTGTTGTAGTATACATGTGGCTCATTGGACTCAAGGTTCATAATGAAAATTATTTCCTTTAGCTCACCAAACTGCACAAAACAACCTTTGTTTGTGTCTTTAATGTTGGTCTTGTCTTTTGTGGCACCTTGTTTAATGTTTTAGTACAATTGATTACTTGCAACCTCGGCATGCCTTTTTAAAAAGTATTTTTCTTTTTGGTTAAAATGTGAATATATGTACACATATATGTATATTTATGATTTTTAAAAATCATATTAACTTTACCAAGTAAAAACCAGGTCATACTGTAATTGAGCCAGTTAAAAAGGTTACAATTTTTTTTTAAAAATGTAACATTTTAATGTGGTAAAAAGACATAAAATGATTAAATATGTTTTAGACTACTAAAAAGGTCATTTCAAGGATTTTATTAAAGGTTTTAATGTTGTCTAAAAAGAAAGAGAAAAAGTAATTGACTTGTAATAAGTAAAAAAAAAGGTGGTTTTGTCTTAAAATAAAAATGTAAAAGAAAAAAATGCTTTCTATAGCATGGCTATTGTTGGGGGCTCTTAGCCAGCTTTATGTTGCAAATCAAGAGCAAAGAGCCCAACAGGATAATTTGCAATACTGTGAGTTTGGGGGAGGGAAATTTTCAGAAATGTTATAGATTGTAAAGACAGAGTTGAGATTTTGATTGTGGGGAAAAAAGAGAAAAAGAAACAATTCATCTTATACTGGAAAAAGCCAATCTAAATTTAAAAGAAATAACTATTGTGCCTAATGTGATTGGTGATTATAGGGATAAAATACAAGTTCTTGCATGTGCTGTGGACATCTGGGAGATTATGTGGCACAATTAATTTTGTTACCTATGAAAAAGCCCTTTTTTGTTAGGTATGTAATTTCAGTACACGTGGCACCCTGGGACAAAAAAAGCAGTATGCCATCCAGATGAAGCCTACCCTCTGATCCAGAATGCCAGAACCATGTTTTCCTTTTGTCCCACCCCGACTGGACAATCAGAGGTAAGGAGGTTCCCCAATATCGCCAGTTGTTCTCAGTAGCCATTAGGGCACCCCAGAAAACCCACCAATTTTCCCAAGATAGCAGAGATGAGACAATTGGCTAATAAGTCTCCCTGGGGGTTTTCTGAAAAGATTGCAAAAGGCCTATCACATTTATACACCGGTAGCACCTAAAAATGCAAGGCTATTAATATTGCCTTTGTAAGCCAGTTGGCCCCTGATATTCAGCAAAAATTGCAAAAGTTTGAGATATTTGAGGAAATGTCCTTCAGTCAATTATTAGAGGTTGCTTAAAAGATATTTGAAAACCGAGAGGACCCTAAAGAACAGGCTTAAGAGGTTCCTGCTGGGCAGAAAAAAATATATTGGTTGTTGGACTCACCATAAAGAAAAATATGACTCTTTCCTCCCAGCGGATGCAAGCCATCCAACAGATTCCAGTCCCTGTGACTAAAGGCAAGTGCAAAAATTTCTAGGAGCCACAGGACTGATCCAGAGTTTGAGACCCTGGCAGAGGCCTGTTGCCTATCTTTCCAAGAGACTTGATTATGTGACAGCCAGATGGCCGCCCTGTCTGCAGGTGATTTCCTTGGTGGCCCTCCTGATAAAAGAAGCTTAAAAATTGACTTTTGGACAGAAACTCTTAATTGTCCCATCCTATTCTCTGGAGACTCATCAAGGCTCCACCAGACTGATGGCTGCCCAATTCCCAGCTCATACATTATCAAGCATTACTTCTAGATCTGACTACCATCAATTTCAAGGGGACAGTGTCTTCAAATTCTGCTACTCTGCTGCCTGATGATGACCTTCCTTGCCCCTCCACGACTATATTGGGGACCAGACTTGACAGATGAGCCACTATTCAGAGTTCCTTTGTATTTCTCTAATGGAAGCAGTGACATCTATCAAGCAGTTACAGCGGGTCGCGGGAGCTGCCGTTACCACAGACTCTCAGATTCTATGGGAACCAACACTGGAGCTGGAAACATCAGCCCAATAAGTTGAACTCATTGCCCTCACTGAGGCCTCAAGTTGTCAAAGTATGCATTTGCTACTGCCCATGTTCATGGGGCTATTTACCAGGAACAGGGATTATTGACTTCTGGGGGCCAACGGATTAAAAATGCTCCCCAAGGCAGAGGAGGAGCTGGGCAGATCTGGGGTGCCCTCACTGGCCTCTCTGCGTGTCTGGAGGACTCTGGATTTCTGCGCCCAGACTGCTGGAGTTCCCTCAGGCTTCCAGGTGCAGTGAAGGAGAGAGGTGGGTCTAAGGCTTCCACATCAGCCTCCCCATTCCCGGCTTCATTTGGAGACCCGCTGAGCTCCCGATAGGTGGGCTGGCCCACACTACCAGCCTAGCCCAGCCTGTTTAGCTGCCGCGCCTGGCCACAGGTCTGCAGAGGAGGAGCTGGACAGATCTGGGGTGCCCTCACTGGCCTCTCTGCGTGTCTGGAGGACTCTGGATTTCTGCGCCCAGACTGCTGGAGTTCCCTCAGGCTTCCAGGTGCAGTGAAGGAGAGAGGTGGGTTTAAGGCTTCCACATCAGCCTCCCCATTCCCGGCTTCATTTGGAGACCTGCTGAGCTCCCAATAGGTGGGCTGGCCCACACTACCAGCCTAGCCCAGCCTGTTTAGCTGCCACACCTGGCCACAGGTCTGCAGAGGAGGAACTGGGCAGATCTGGGGTGCCCTCACTGGCCTCTCTGCGTGTCTGGAGGACTGTGGATATCTCTGCAACCAGGGAGGGTCCACAGATTCCTGAAGCACTGCGGCCTGTGGTGAGTACCCTAACCCGGCTGCGATTGAAGAACTGTGGAGCTTCCAAGGGGCAGGTGGGCACACAGTGTCCCTGAGGCCCAGCTTGTCTGGAACTGCGGAGTTCTGAGCAGGCAGAGGAGGGCCACTGGTTCTGTAGGCCTAATGGCTTGGAGTAGCACGGCGCCAGAGTCCCAGTAGCTCCAAACATAGAAGGGGATTTTCAACAGATCCTGAGGAAGCTTTCAAGTAACACTTGAAACACAGAAATATAGGAAAATGACAAAACGAAAGACCAAATTACAACCTCAAACCTCCAGCCCATCTCAAGAAACCCTAGGAGCGATGTATATAGAAGAAAATATATCCCATCCACCTCATATATCGGACACAATAGCCACTGAAATTGACAAGCAACTCCAGGAAGCTTTAAAGAAATTCAAACTCGAAATAATCTCCCAGATAAAAGAAGAAATGATAAAAGAAATGAAAGAGATTCTAAATATATCTAAAGAAAACACAGATAAAAAATTGGAGGAACTAAACAAAAAGATAGAATCCCTAGATGAGCAATATAAGAAACAAACAGAATACATAATGCAGATGCACAGAGATATACAGGAAATAAAAAACTCCACTGAAAGTTGTAAAAACCGCCTTAATGAAAGTGAAGATAGAATTTCAGACCTTGAAGACAGGATTGCAGCTAGTGAACAGGAAAGGAAAGATCTTTTGAAAATAACAAGGAACCAGGAAACAACAATTCAACAACTGCAAGACGATGCAAAGAAGAATAACATAAGAATGATAGGGATTAATGAAAGAGAGGGAGACAACATGAAGGATGTCAGGAGGATATTTAGAGAAGTAATAGCTGAAAATTTCCCAAGCATGAGATCAGAAACTGACATCAGGATCAGTGAAGCATATAGAACTCCAAACAGTCATAACCAAAATAAAACTACACCCAGACATATAATAGTCACCATCCCAGAAATCCAACACAAGAATAGATTATTAAAAGCTGTCAGAGAGAAAAGACAAATCACTTATAAAGGAAAACCTATCAGAATCACAGCAGACTTCTCAGCACAAACGATAAAGTCAAGAAGAGCATGGAGTGAAGTATTCCAGATCCTAAAGC